CAAGCTTTGAAAAAGACAGAAATAAGGCGGAACATTTAGAAGGACACAATATACCTGAATTAATTTCATTTAATGTTTCACCTGAAGTAATTGAAATACAAGATAAAACTACAGAAGATGTCATGGAAGGAGTTATCACTGAGGTACAAGAACTTGAAAGTGAGATAGATCCATCAGCTTTCATCACTGCAGAAGAAAAGTACAAAAAGGATGTGATTGTTTTTGAGGACGATATAATGATTGCTTCACATGAATGTGTTTCAAAAAATAGTCAGATACCATACATGCATAAACAAAGTTCAGAATATGATACACAGAGTTCTGATGACACATTAAATGTTGGTGAAGAAGATAAAGCTCAGGATGTTGGACAAGATGAAACAACGCAACAAATTACTGAAGAAAACTTGAATAAAGTAGTAGAAAGGATAGTGCAAAGCGAATGGGATGTGTCAGATGTGTGCATTGAACAAGATGAGGATGAAAAGGAGATGGAGCATCCATTATTGGACTCAACGTCTGAAGATGTTCCAGCCACTACTTCACATGAAGGCATCACACATGCCATTGAGATAGCACAAGTTGTTACACCAACCACAATAGCTGACTTGGCAGAGATCGTTGAAACACCAGATGAACAGGAAGGTATTGAACAGACCACTGGACCTGAACGGCAACGTTTTGAAGATAATATCGTGTCAATTAGTGAATCAAAAGAAGATATATTTGAAGAAGTCTGTGAAGAAACTGTGACTATGACAGATCAAATAGTACTTGAAAGTGAAACACAATTAGTGCCTCAAGTTGTTTCAACAACTGCTCAAAATGAAGTTGTCAAACGAGTCGTTGAAATACCACACGGTGTTACATCAATCAAAGATGATGATTTGGCAGAGGTCAATGATGAAGAAGATACAACTCCTGATAATGTAGTGATTGAACAGATCACTGAAACAGAAAAGCCAATTTCTGAAGATGATATCGTGAAAATAATTGAAGCAAAGGAGGACGTTTCTGAAGAAGTCAGTGATGAAACTTTGGCTATGAAAGAGGAAATAGCAGTTAAAAGTCAAACACAATTGCTGTCTGAAGATGTTTCATCAGCTGCTATTTATGAAGATGTCTCAAAAGACTTTGAGAAAACATACGTTGTGAGATCAATTAAAAAAGCTGACTCGGAAAAGATAATTGAAACGCCAGATACAGCTCACGAACGTGAAGCTATTCATAAGATTACTGAAATTGAAAAGCCAATTTCTGAAGATGATTTAGCAGAAATCGTTGAAATAAAAGAGGCAGATTCTAATGACATCATTGAAGAAACTGTCACCAAGACAGAAGAAAAAGTACTTGAGAGTGAAACACTAATAGTGTCTGAAGAGGTTTCTACAACTGCTGATTATGAAGGTGTCTCACAAGACGTTGAGATAGCAGAAGTAGATATATCAATCACACAACCTGAACTCGCAGAGATTGCTGAAACACCAGATGAAGCATATGATCATGAAGCTATTGAAAAAAATACTGAAATTAGTGAGCAAATGTGTAAAGATGATATCATACAGACCATTGATCCAAAGGAGGAAGATACTGAAGAAGTAATTGAAACTTTGACAATCCCAGAGGAAACAATACTTGAAAGTGAAACGCAATTAGTATCTGAAGATGTTTCAACAACTGTTCTATATGAAGTTCTCTCGCAAGATGTTGAAATATCAGAAGTGATTAAACCAATCACAGATGATAATTTGACAGAAATTATTTATACACGAGATTACGTTCCTGAACAAGAAGCTATTGAGCAAGTCACTGAATCTAAAGAACCGTTTTCTGAATATGACATCATGCCAGTTATTGACTCAAAGGAGTACTTTTCTGAAGAGGTCAGTCATGCAAATGTGACCATAAGTGAGGAAGCTGTACTTGAAAGTGAATTTGAATTAGTGTCCGAAGATGCTATAACAACTTCCCTGTTTGAAGGTGTCTTGCAAGACATTAAGATAGCAGGAGTAGATATCTCAATCAAACAAACTGATTTGGCAGAGACCGTTGAAACACCAGATGAAACTTATGAAAATGAATCGGTTGAATGGATCACTGAAATTGATAAACTAACTTCTGAAGATGATATCGCAGAAATCCTTGAAGTAAAGGAAATGCATTCTGAAGAGGTCATTGAAGAAACTCTGACCACAAAAGAGGAAACCGTAATTGAAAGTGAAACACAATTTGTGTTTGAAGATGTTTCAACAACTGCTCCGTATGAAGGTTTCTTGCAAGACGTTGAGGTAGAACCTGTTGCTATAGCCATCACAGAAGCTGAGCTAGCAGACATCGTTAAAATTCCAGATAAAGCTACTGAACATGAAACTATTGAGCAAATAGCTGGACATAAAAAAACTTGTTCTGAAGATGATATCCAGCCAATTAGTGAACCAAAGGCAGACGTTTATGAAGGAATCAATGAAGAAACTATAACCACGAAAGAGGAAACAATAATTGAAAGTGAATTGAAATTAGTGTCTGAAGATGTTTTCACAACAGCAACGCATGAAGGTGTCTCACAGGACCTTGAGATAGCAGAAATGGTTAAACCAATCACAGAAGCTGAACTGGGAGACATTGTAGAAACACCAGATACAGCTCACGAACGTGAATATATTAAACAGAATACTGAAATTGAACAGATCACTCAAATAGAAGAACCAAGTTATGAAGTCGATGTAGTAAAAATTGATGAAGGAAAAGAGGCAGATTTTGAAGAGGTAATTGAAGAAACTGTGACCATGCCAGAGGAACCAATGCTTGGACATGAACCACAAATGGTTCCTGAAGATGTTTCAACAACTGGACCATATAGAGGTGTCTCTCAAAATGTTCAGATAACAGAAAGGGTTACATCAATAACGGAAGCAGATTTGACAAAAATAATTGATATGCAAAATGAAGCACCTGAACATGAAGATATTGAGCAAACCACTGAACTTGAAGAACGATATTCTGAAGATGATATGCCAATAATTGAATCAAATGAGGTCATTTTTAAAGAGGCAAGTGAAGAAACTGTGTCCATAAAAGCGGAAACAGCAGTTCGAAATGAAATGCAATTGCTGTCTGAAGATGTTTCAACAAGTGCTCCATATGAAGATGTCTCAGAAGTTGTTCAGATAGCAGAAGTGGTTAGAGAAATTATTGAACCTGAACTGGCAGAGATTGCTGAAAGAGCAGAAGAACCTCATGAACATGACGTTATTGATCAGATAACTGAAATTGAAAAACAAAGTTCTGAAGATGATATCACACAAATCTTTAAACCAAAGCAGGAAGTCTTTGAAGAAATCAGTGAAGAAACTGTGACCACGATAGAGGAAACTACACTTCAATGTGAAGCACAATTGCTGTCTGAAGATGTTTCAACAACTGCTCCATATGAAGGTGTCTCACAAGAAGTTGAGGTAGCAGAAGTGGTTACATCCATCACAGAAGCTGATTTGCCAGAGATCGTTGAAACACCAGACGAAGCTCGTGATGATAGAGCTATTAAAAAGAAAACTGAAATTGAAGAGCCAAATTATGAAGTTGATTTTGCAGAGATCATTGAAGCCAATGAGGCACATTCTGAAGAGGTAATTAAAGAAACTTTTACTACGAAAGAGAAAAAGGTAATTGAAAGTGAAATTCCATTGATTTCTGAAAATCTTTCAAAAACTGCTGCATATGAAGTTCACTCACGATTATATGAAGAGGTTACACAAGGCACTGAAATAGAAAATGTGGAAGTGGGAACCCCAATATTTCCCATAGCGGTTGATATAAAAGCCCGTGTTGAAAGTATTTATGAACCGGTGGAAAAAATAGAATTTGGACCTGCTGAGCAGGGAATGCTATTCAATGCTAGTTTAGATGCCAAGAGATTGGCTGATGCTAACCAGTTGTTAATGCTCAGTAATGATGAGCAAACACCCTCCGGAGTAGTGTTCTTGGAGAGAATTGATCAGATGGAAAGTGTAACTAATGCTCCAAGTAGATTCATGTATGCGACCAGTAAAGCAGAATCAATTCAAGAAAAAGAAAATTTGGATGTGTGGCTGCCTGAAAATATATCAACCTCTTATAGCAGAGCATATGACTTGAATTCAACATTATTAGAGGGATCACACCGAAAAAAAGCAATACTTCAAGAGCAATATATTCTGCATGTAGATAGCAATCAGGATAATAACGAGGAACAGCAAGACATTTACTTTCCATCACATGATGGTGTCTCGAAATTTGCCGAGATAGAAGTGAAGAGAGAAAGCAGTCAATATGAACCAGATAAAGCTCCAAAGCATGAAGATCCAGAATGGTTTACTGATCCTAAAATGTTGACCTCTGAAGATGATAATGTAGAAATTGTTAAAGAAAAAGAAGACGTTTCTCAAGAGGTCAGTGGAGAAACAGTGACAACAACAGAACAGAAGGTAGTTGAAAGTGAAAGACCATTAGTGTCTGAGCAAAATGAAGCACCTGAACGTGAAGCTATTGAACACATCACTGAGTGTGAACCACCGTGTTCTAAAGATGGCATAATGCCAATTATTCACTCAAAGGATGACTTTTCTGAAGAGTTAATTGATGCAATAGTGACCACGAGAGAGGACGTTGTCCTTGAAAGTGAAATGCAATTTGTGTCTGAAGATGTTTCGCCAACTGCTCTATATGATGGTGTCTCACAATACATTGATATATCAGGAGTGGTTACATCAATCAAAGAAGATGATCTTATAGAGATAATTGAAACACCAGATGAAGTTACTGAACATGAGGTTATTGAACAGACCACTGAACCTGAAAACCCATGTTATCAAGATTATATCATGGTACGAATTGAATCCAAGGAATATGTTCCTGAAGCGAAAAGTGAAGAAACTGTAACCATGAAAGAGGAACCTGTAGTGAAAAGTGAAATGCAATTAGCGCCTGAAGATATTTCCACAACTGCTCCATATGAAGGTGTCTCAGAAGACGTTGAGATAGTACCTGTAGATACAGCCATTACAAAAGCAGATATGGGAGAGTTCGGTGAAACACCAGATGAAGCTACTGAACGTGAAGCTATTACTGAAATTGCAACACCAATTTCTGAAGATGAAATCGTGAGAATAATTAAAGTAATGGAGGTAGATTCTGATGAGGTAATTGAAGAAACTGTGACCATGCCAGAGCAGATAATACTTGAAAGTGAAACGCAACTGGTGTCTGAAGATGTTCCATCAACTGCTCCGTATGAAGGTGTCTCAGAAGACAATGAAATAGAAGTTGGTAGATCAATCAAGGAGGCTGATTTGGCAGAAATCGTTGATACACCAGACAAAGCTCATGAACATGAAGTTATTGAAGAGATAACTGAAATTACAACACCAATTTCTGAAGATGATATCGTTAAAATAATTGAAGCAAAGGAGGATGTTCAGAATCAAATGCAACTGCAGTCTGAAGATTTTTCATCACCTGCCCGACATGAGGGATTACAAGACTTTGAGAAAGTAGAAGTTGTGAGATCAATCAAAAAAGCTCACCTGGAAAAGATAATTGAAAAGTCAGATACAACTCCTGAACATGAAGTTATTGATAATATCACTGACATTGAAAAGCCAATTTCTGAAGAGGATATTTCAGAAATCGATGCACCAAAAGAGGCAGATTCTCAAGTGGTCATTGAAGAAATTCTTTCCACGACAGAAGAAAAAGTAATTGAAAGTAAAATGTCAATAGTGCCTGAAGAGGTTTCCACAACTGTTAATTATAAAGGTTTCTCAAAAGACGCTGAGATAGAAGAAATCAATAGATCCATCACCGAACCTGAATCGACAGATATTGCAGAAAGAACAGATGAACTTCTTGAACATGAGCAGCTAATTGGAATTGAAAGAGTAAGTTTTACCAATGATATCGTGCCAATAATTGAACCAAACCAGGATATAGTTGATGCAATCGGTGAAGAAACTGTGACCACGACAGAGAAAACAGGAGTTGAAAAAGCAATACAATTAGTGTTTGAAGATATTTCAAAAACTGATCAGCATGAAGGTGTATCAGAAGATGTTGAGATAGCAGAAGTGGTTACATCCATCACAGAAGTTGAAATGGCAGAGATCATCGAACACGATGGTGTAGAAACAATTGCTGAAATTGGAAAGCAAATTTGTAATACTAATATGGCACAAACCATTGAAGCAAAGGAGGTAGATTCTGAACAGGACATTTTTGAAACTGTGAGCATGCCAGAGAAAACAGTACTTGAAAGTGAAACGCAACTGGTGTCTGAAGATGTTTCAACAGCTGCTGAATATGAAGGTGTCGCAGGAGACTTTGAGAAAATAGAAGTTGCGAGGTTAATCAAAGAAGCTAACCTGGAAAAGATCATTGAAACGCCAGGAATAGCTCCCAAGCATGAAGCTATTGATAAAATAACTACAATTGAAAAGCCAATTTCTGAAGATGAAACAGCAGAAATTGTTGAACCAAATGAAGCAGATTCTCAAGAGGTCATTGAAGAAACTTTTACCAAGCCAGAGGAAACGGTACAAACAATAGTTGAAAGTGAACCGCTATTGGTTCCTGAAGATGTTTCAACAACTGCTCCGTATGAAGGTGTCTCAGAAGACGACGAGATAGGAGAAATGGTTAAACCAAGCACATATGATGATATAACAGAGATCATTGATACACAAGTTCTTGAACAAGAAGCTTTTCAGCAAATAAATGAAATTGAACAACCATGTTGTGAAGATAACTTAATGCCAATAATTGACTCAAAGGATGACTTTTTTGTAGAGGTCATTGATGCAACAGTGACCACAAGAGAGGAAGTAGTCCTTGAAAGTGAAATGCAATTAGTGTTGGAAAATGTTTCAACAACTGCTCTGTATGAAGGTGTCTTGCAAGATGTTGAGGTAGAACCTGTTGCTACAGTCATGCTTGAATCCTATTTAGGACAGATCGGTGAAACATCAGATGAAGCTCCTGAACAGGAAGTTATTGAACAGATGACTGAAATTGAAGAGCTAATTTCTGAAGATAATGGCGTGAAAATAAGTGAAGCAAAGGAGGGTGTTTTTGAAGAGGTCAGTGATGAAACGTTGTCGATGAAAGAGGAAACAGCAGTTCAAAGTCAAATGCAACTGTTGTCGGAAGATGTGTCATCGGGTGCTGCATGTGAAGATGTCTCAGGAGACCTTGAGAAAATAGAAGTTGCGTGGTCAACCAAAGAAGCTGACCTGGAAAAGATAATTGAAACGCCATCAAAAGCTCCTGAACATGAAACTATTGATAAAATAACTACAATTGAACAGCCAATTTCTGAAGATGAAACAGCGAAAATCCGTGAAGCAAAGAATAGAGATTCGCAAGAGGTCATTGAAGAAATGTTTACTGTGCCAGAGGAAACAGTACTTGAAAGTGAATCGCTATTGGTCCCTGAAGATGTTTCAACAACTGCTCCATATGAAGGTGTCTTACAAGACGACGAGATAGTAGAAGTGGTTAAACCAAGCACATATGATGATATAGCAGAGGTCAGTGATACACAAGATGGAGATTTTGAACAAAAAGCTATTGGGGAAATCACTGAACCTGAACAACCATGTTGTGAAGATGACATCATCGCAATTATTGACTCAAAGGATGACCTTTCTGAAGGGGTCAGTGATGCAACTGTGACCACAAGAGAAGAAGTTGTCCTTGAAATTGAAATGCAATTAGTGTCGGAAGATGTCTCAACAACTGCTCCGTACAAAGATTTCTTGCAAGACGTTGAGGTAGTACCTGTGGCTACAGGTATCACGGAAGCTGATTTGGAACCGATCGGTAAAACACCAGATGAGGCTACTGAACATGAAGCTATAGCACAGACCATTGAAATTGAAAAGCCAATTTCTGAAGATGATATCGTGCAAATAGTTGAAGTAAAAGAGGCAGATTCTGAACAAATAATTGAAGAAACTGTAACCATGCAAGAGCAAACAATAGATAAAAGTGAAACACAATTGGTGTCTGAAGATGTGTCAACAGCTGCTACATATGAAGGTGTCTCAGGAGACTTTGAGAAAAAAGATGTTGTGGTGTCAATCAAAGAAGCTGACCTGGAAAATATAATTGAAACCCCAGGAAAAACTCCTGAACATGAAGCTATTGATAAAATAACTACAATTGCAGAGCCAATTTCTGAAGCTGAAACAACAGAAATCCTTGAACCAAAGGATGTAGATTCGCAAGAGGTCATTGAAGAAACGTTTACTAGGCCAGAGGAAACAGTACGTGAAAGTGAAACGCTATTGGTCCCTGAAGATGTTTCAACAACTGCTCCGTATGAAGGTGTCTCAGAAGACGACGAGATAAGAGAAGTGGTTAAACCAAGCACATATGATGATATAGCAGAAATCATTGATACACAAGATGGAGATTTTGAACAAGAAGCTATTGGGGAAATCACTGAACCTGAACATCCGTTTTTTGAAGATGACATCATCGCAATTATTGACTCAAACGATGACCTTTCTGAAGGGGTCAGTGATGCAACTGTGACCACAAGAGAAGAAGCTCTCCGAGAAAGTGAAATGCAATTCGTGTCGGAAGACGTCTCAACAACTGCTCCGTACAAAGATGTCTTGCAAGACGTTGAGGTAGTACCTGTGGCTACAGGTATCATGGAAGCTGATTTGGAACAGATTGGTAAAACACCAGATGAGGCTACTGAACATGAAGCTATGACACAGACCATTGAAATTGAAAAGCCAATTCATGAAGATGATATCGTGCAAATAGTTGAAGTGAAAGAGGCAGATTCTGAACAAATAATTGAAGGAACTGTGACCATGCGAGAGCAAACAATGGTTGAAGGTTATACGCAACTTGCGTCTGAAGAAGTTTTAACGGCTGCTGCATATGAAGGTGTCTCAGAAGACTTTGAGAAAATTGAAGTTGTTAGGTCAATCAAAGAAGTCGACCAGGAAAAGATCATTGAAACGCCAGGAGTATCTCGCAAACATGAAGCTATTGATAAAATCACTGACATTGAAATGCCACTTTCTGAAGATGATATAGCAGAAATCGTTATACCAAAGGAGGCAGATTCTCAAGTCGTCTTTGAAGAAACTCTTACCACGGCAGAAAAAAAAGTAGTTGAAAGTGAAACACCATTAGGATCTGAAGACGTTTCCACCACTGCTAATTATCAAGGTTTCTCACAAGACGTTGAAATAGCAGAAGTAGATATATCAATGACAGAACCTGAAATGGCAGAGATTCCAGAAAAAACAGATGAAGCATATGATCATGAAGCGGTTAAAATAATTCCAGAAATTCAACAGCAAATTTGTGAAGATGATATAGTACACACCACTGAACCTAAGAAAACAGATTCGGAAGATGAAATTGAAGATATTTCGACCAAGTCAGAGAAAACAATACTTGAAAGTAAAACGCAATTGGTGCATGGAGATGTTTCAATGACTGCTGCATACGAAGTTGACTCATGGTCGTATGAAAAAGCAATGCAAGGAATTGAGATAAAAAATGTGGAGGTGGGAACCCCAAGTCTCCCCAAAGCTGTTGATAGTAAAGCACGTGTTGAAAGTTTTTATGAACCGGTGGATAAACTGGAATTTAGACCTGCTGGGCAGGGAATATGGTTTAATGCCAGTTTAGATGCCATGAGATTGGCTAACGCTAACCAGATGCAAATGCTCAGTAATGATGAGCAAACACCCTCAGGGGTAGTGTTCTTGGAAAGTGTTGATGAGAAGGAAAGTGAAACTGATGTTCAGCCAATTTCTGATGATCAGCCAATTTCTGAAGATGATATCGTGGAAATAGTTGAAGAAAAAGAGGCAGATTTTGAACGGAAAATTGAAAAAACTGTGACCAAGCGAGAGAAAACAATAGTTGAAAGTGAACTGCTATTGGTCCCTGAAGATGTTTCAACAATTGCTCCATATGAAGGATTCTCAGAAGACGATAAGATAGAAGAAGTGATTAAA